AAACATTTTGGAAAGGAATTTCAAATTATGTAAATAAAGTGACTAAAATATCCATACCCTTTGACCTAAAGATTTGGTTACTGTGTTTATCTACCAAGGAGGTCATTGATAAGAAAAAAATCCCCATATATGCCAAAATATTTACAGTAGCACTTAGGACACAAGGAAAGACACAATCTGAGGCAAAATGAAGTAAATAAAACCAAGAAGAACAATGTTCACAATCTTAACACTGTAAATGGAAAGAACGAACACAAAAACATCAAAAGGTAATGTTTCAAAACACAAGGAACAAATATGACCCCAAAGAAGAGTTGCTGGAAGACGCTTCAACCCCACTTGTTTGCAGATGTGGGAGGTCTAGAGGCATCTATAGATTGAACATATATATACACCCACGGTATGTACATACACATATACACATACATATGTGTGTATATATGTATACATGTGCATACAGGCATGTAAATATAAATAACATCGCATATATTTTCAGACTTTTTCAACTTATTGATCAGTTTCATGAATTTGTTTTCTCCTATGCTTTTTCTGTTTTTTTTTTTTTTTAAAAGTATTATTTGTTATATGAGATGGCTTTCTGGGAGAAGAGAGCAAGAAATACTGGGAAACATTTTTGTGATGTAAAAAAGAAAAGATATCAATAAAAAATTATTTTTAAAAAAGAATGTGAATGTTTCAAAATTATAAAAAAAAAACAACCTAAGTGTGGCTCTAAAGAAGACATAGGAAAAGATAACCCTACCCCAATCCTTTGCAGAAGTGAGAGACTCCTAAATGTGGAACACTGCACGTATTTTAAGACTTTTTCCATATGTTGATCAGTTTTGCTGATTTTTTTCCTCTTCCTTTTTTTCTCTAAAAAATATTTTTTGTTACATGGGTTGCTTCTCTGGGAGGGCAGAGGAGAAAGGATGTGTGTGTGGGGGGTAAATTTAGCCAATATAAAAGCAAAAGATATAAATACAATTGTATTTCTTAAAAAGCAGACCATCCTTATCTGGTAAGGCTTTCTGGACACCGAAACTAAGAAATTGCTGCAATCATAGAGCTCTTTCTATTCTTTAGGTAGTGTCCTTTTGTCAATCAATGTGGGTAGAAAAAGAGATAAAGGTAGAGACAGAGATGATATAAATAGAGACTATAGAGAGCCTATATCTCTTTGTTTACTTATATGTAAACGTGCCTTATGCCTCCAGAAGAATATAAACTTCTTGAGGGCACAGACTCTATCACCTTTGTGACTTTATTCCCAGTGCTTAGCACAGGGCTTGGCACATAGTAGGTACTCAATCCATGCTTACTGATTAACTATAATAGTTTGTGTCTGTATATATGTATATCCTTTTCCATTATTTGTATATTGATTAATATACATAAGTATATCTTGCTTCTACACTCTATTGCATCATTCACATATGTGTACAAGGTACATGCATATATGTGTGTACTTACATACGCAATGTAAACAAGGGTGTGTTCTGAGTTTTGGTGCCTATTAAAAAACACATTGTACCATCTTCTGTCTAGACAATATTTGAGGGAAAAGTCTACCCTTCCTATGGCCAAGAGGTTATGTTGATTTCCACATATTGGTGTTATTTAGTTTAACCAACGCTGTCCTCATGGCTATCTCCTCCTTAAGTGAGACTGTAAAGGTGTACAGAAAAAGGAAGTGAGTAATTTAGCAGTTGGGGTCATGGTTCCAAATGTCATCTATAGTTTTATATTGCCCTGGGGACCACCATGTTTCCAGTAATAAGAAATGCATATAGGGTATAGGACAGCCCATGGCTGTTTGCATTGCCTATTAATGGCCTGCTGTGGTTGTATCTCCTATCGAAAGTTGCAGAGAAGGTGCTGACTTGCAGAGGTTTCCTCACTAGAAAAACAATTAAAATCATAGAGCCAATCCCTGTTCTTATCTTTAATATGTTTATGCTGTAGACAGGAAAATCCAATTCAAGGTTATGTGTCCAAAACACACTCTCTATTTCCACAACTGCAAAGCAGCCCCCAAAATTCCTTAACCATAAATTCATGAGGTTTTATTCTCTGTAGAATCTCAGAACCAATATCATTTTTTGGTATCAAGAAAGATGGCAGGGCCCACCAGACTCAACTTATGGATACTCAAGGCATTGCATGGAGAAGAGAAAAAACTTTTGTCTAGACATTTTCATTCCTTCCTACTGCTTTCTTGTTGAGGAAAGTTTTCTTCAGTAAGCACGAGGGGAAGGTGGCATACATTAACTAATTTTGATCTTGTCCTTAATCACATGAATGTGTATCCTTTCTAAAAAGAAATTCAGTAGAAACAGATCATTGCTATCTGCTTGAAAGATCATTTTTTGAAACACTGCCATCTTGTGGAACTTTATAGATATGCCCAAGAAACTCATAGGTGGGGTCACATGGTTCAGTCTAGGAAAGCTATGTTGCACAAATTTATTCCTACTACAATTTTGTATGAAATCATAGCAGAGGGTACAGAGTAAACTGCAATGAGAATTGTAACTATGCAATGCTTTTTAGAATATATTAATTTACTCCATAGAATTCATAACATGTCAGGCCCATGTAGGTAATACTTTTAAGAAATAAGCTAATTAAAAAGGTAGCAGTAAGAGAGATATTTCACGAATTTATTTTAACACTTGACAATTTACAAGCATTTATAAAACATATATTATTAGAACATGTATATTTAAGTCACTATGGACAACAAACCTAACACAATTAACTCATTTGGAATTGCACCCAATTTTTTTTTTCTTTCTTCCTAGTTCTTAAAAAAAAAAATCTGTGGGTTTTTCCATTACCATTGGGAATAAAGTCTGAACATCTAGAAGGCTGGGGGTTTTGTGACTATTTTAAACAGTGCTTGGCATGATTTCAAGTCAAAAAGGAACTGACCTGTGAAAATTCTAATAAAGAGGCCCATTCATCTTTTATCTCATTTGGCACATAATCCTTTCAACAATTCTGTGAGGTAAATTTCACAACTGGGAAAGTAAGACTGAAGCTAAGTGACCTCAAATGACAATGAAATACTGTAGCTGGAAACGAAATTCTGAAACTTCCTTATCTCCATATAAATTGTATCTCTAGCCTGTTCTCTCACATATGCATTTTTTAAAGCCTTCAAATCTTTAGATACATGAGTTTTTTTTTTATAAAGGCTCACAAATTAATTAAATTAACATCTATATAAATTGTGGAACAAAGATGAGGGGCAGAAAAGGCTGGATGGGAACTCATGAGGCACAGTGAGTGCTCAAAGGACTGCATCAAATGAAATAGTATTTGTAAAAGAGCTCAGCACTTAGTAGGTGTTCTATAAATGCTTATTTCTTCCCTCCCTTCTCCTCTGGACTCAGAGGACTTGGAATCAAATCCCACCTTGTAAGCTTAAGATGTGTATGATCTGAGAAAGTCACTTAACTCCCATGGGCCTTAACAGTCTCATCTGTTATATGGGTGGATTGGATTAGGTACATCAGAGGTTCCTTTGATCTACGATTTAATTCCTAAGCATGATTCAGAATCTGTTTCAATTTTTTTGTATATGTAATATTCCTGTTGTTTAAGATGTACAAACCTTAAATATGGGACTCATTCTGGAGATGAACAGTGCCAAAAGATAATGTCACAATTTCCTCCCAAAGCAAAATCTTATAGAAATGTAGATCTTTATTTTAGCAATATCCAGAGTAGGCTATTTTTTATGACAAGAAATAAGATTTCCCAGTGATATTACCAAGTAAGCCTTGACAATTCGTATTGTTTCAACAATGCAACAAAAGTGCTATCTCCCTCAAAATTGTTAGGTTCAAGAATATAGTATACATATACATATATACATGCATATATACACATACACACATGTGTGTATATGTAGTATGTATATGTAGTATGTGTATGTGTACATATGTGTACGCGTGCGTGCATGCATGTGTGCATGCATTATTGTTTGTGTGCACATATACATGTGTGGATATATGTGTGTGCATAAAACATATGCATGTATTATTGTCAAGTTAGTGTTTATCTTAGAGTATAGAATGGCTCTTAAGCAATACAGAATAGACAAAGTTGTGAGCTCTTGATACATCTGTCCAATTTCACTGTTCTGAGACATTGTCCATAATAAGAGCTTGTGTTCATGTGTGTTCATATTGTGTTCAAAGCCTCCACTGTGTAAGGTAGAATGTGCTAATGGATAGTACTACTATTTTATTAGGAAACTGAGGCTGAGATAAGTTTAGTGACTCACTGCTGTAACTAAGTAGCAGAATCAGGATTCAATCCCAAATCTTCGAACTCCAAGCCCAGGGCCTTTTTTCCTACTTAAACGTGGGTCAGAGGAGGTTAAGAGCCTTGCTCAAGGTGATGCAGGTAGTAAGTAGAAAAGCCAGTACTGGAAACCAGATCTCCTGACTCTAATTTAACCCACTTTCTACTTTCTGATTTCAAGCTTTCACTTACTCTGAAAGAAACAAAAATTCATTCATCTTACTTATCATTCATTGCTGGCTTATTATCATGAAATACTATGTTGTCCCAATACCTAAGTTGTAAACTAAACATTTCCAGAAACTAGTCTTCTTTGCTTTTATATTGTTTATTTTACATACACCTACCCTTGAGTCTCCTATATAATGATGTGTTAAACCCTCAGAGGAAACTGCTAGGAAATAACAGAGTATGTAAGTAGTGTTTTAACTATAGGCTAGTTTGTATTTGCTTTATAAAACCACAAAACCAGAAGGAAAGTGTGGGAGAAGGTGGGCTGAACAGTGGCACAAACCTCATGACATTTTTCTCCACCTCACCGTGATTGGCTGGGAGGATCTGGGACAGCATTTAAATTCTAGGAGGTCAGAACAAGTGAACGGTCTGAAGAGGACAGGAAGGAGCATCTGGACTTGAAGAGGACCTGAACAGTCTTCTTGCTAACTGCAACCTTCTGGCTGAAACTCCAGCTCAGGTAATTAGATTTTTACTTTGTTTATTTTACCACTTTGATTCTTGAAATTTCCACTTGGATGATTAGATGAAGCTATTCTAAATATATGGGTTATTTTTCTCCTACAAAAGCTCATCGTATTTTAAAACTAGGCTAAAAAAATCTGAATAGTTTTTTTAATTTAATTATGTTATTTTTAAACTGCAAGCTGAAAAGATTATAAGAACAAATTCAATTTTTTGTCTGGCTTCTCTTCTACCTGGAGAAAGATATGTACTATATATATAGTTGGCATTTGGATCCCATTTATGTTGTTTAAATTATTATCTAGTGATATCAAATAAGAATAAGTCTAGAGTAGAGAATTAGAACTATTATAGAATTATAAAATGTACCGATGCTTTTCAGTATTGGATGACTCAGTTTTTTAAGTTCCTTTTGACTGTCAGGAATGGAGAAAAGTAGTGGCATAGGGTTTTAGAACTCCTTTTCAGATTTCAACTCAAAAGAGCAAATTTAAAAAAAAAAATGTTAATGGAAAGGAAAGAGCCTCCAGAAAATGGAATCACTGTGTTTAAATTGGTATTTTAAGGTACTATTGCAAAGACTGAGGAAGAATCCACCATGAGGACCACAGTGATTTGCTTCTGTTTACTTGGCATGGTCTCTGCGTTGCCTGTAAGTAAATATCACACTTCAATTACATTACTAATTCTGAATGAATTATGTAGATTCTGCCTGTGCTAGAAATAAATTCATACTGTAATCTCTTTTCATCCTTCTTCCTTCAAAGGTGAAGCAGCAGATCAATTCTGGTAGCTCAGAAGAAAAGCCGGTGAGTCTCCTTTAAAAATCTTTTTGTTAACTTCACTTTTGCCAACTTTTACAAAATCCACTGTGCAGAATATTTGTTACAATTATACCTGCTCACAAAATGGCAATATAGACTTTTTCCTATTAATCTGGGCTTATGAATTCATGGGCATTTACTTTTACGAAATCTGCTTTGGGCCTAGCACTGCATCAGTACTGTTGGATACAGAATAAGGATAAAATATAGTCATATCCATTACCATATTACAGTCAAAACCTGGCTGAGGAGTTTACCATCTGTTTAAGAATACATTGTTTTTCCTTTGTGAAGTTAAAACTCGGCCTTTTTAAAAGCAAATAGTTCTCCAGATCACAATGATTCATGAATCCTTTCTGTTTAAGCATGCCCTTTTGTGAACTGAGGTGTTGTTTTATAAGTAGTTCAGTCCGTTCTTTGACCTCCCTAATAGAAAGAAGAGTATAAAAATGCATTTCTGACGTTAGTCTGTAAGATTAGACGTATGGACAAAAGCACAGACAATACCTCCTTAGATGTTTGCTACTGAGTCCATTGTCCAAGGAAAGCGTATTTATGTCATGTCTGTTGTGCTTGTCAGCTGATTTCAAATCACATTTTCCAAATAAAGAAGGCATCAGACCAAATCATATACATTCTACTATTGGTCTGATAGAACCTTAATTGCACCTGATCTCCTAGATAAAACTGTGTCCAACGCAAACAGGCATTGCCTCTGGGAACTAACCCTATAGAATACAAAGTAAAATTCCAGATAGAGCAGGGGCCAAAATTGAGTTATCTGGGATCACTGCAATTCTTGCTTAATGAAGGAATCAGCAGAATTTTTGACATGTTGCTTTTTCTTTATTGATTCGTGAGTGCAAAATGTCTTGTCATCATAATGAATAGGAAAATTAGCATTTTTAGAGAAGATAATCCTCTGTTCTAGCCAGAGAAGGTTATCATTTCCAAAAAAGCATAAAATAAGGCAAGGAGACACCTTGATCAGAACAAGAGGTCAGAGATCAACACAAATTCAAAGCAGTAACTAGTACCTGGGTGTTGGGAATGATATTCAGGATGTGAATGAACAAATTCAAAGCTTTTCATTCTGTTGTCACCACCACCACCATCCCTAACATAATCATTGTAATTTTCCATATAAATGTTGGGCACAGAGCAAATGTAATTTCACTGACATATTTGGTAACCTGGAGAGTACACAGTTATTTAAGGTTATCTCTGCCTTTAGTTGAACTTTGCCAGAAGAGTCAGTGAATTGGAATATTTAGCAAAGAGGCAGCTATTACCAAAAAATACATATCCTGAAGGAAAGATAGAAAGTAACAGGATTCTTAGATAATTATGTCTTTATTCTTATGCATTTCATATTACTAAAGCTCCCTAATTCACAGAACATCGCTTGTAGGTACATATGCTTCTCTTTTAATAATGATAGACATGTATTTTTTTGATAGCTTTACAGCAAACACCCAGACTTTGTGGCAACATGGCTGAATGCTGACCCTTCCCAGAAGCAAACATTATTAGCCACACAGGTATTTTAAAACTTTTTTTGATTAAACATATAATTCAAGTGTTTATTTCTGTGTATAAATATATAAATAAACATACGTATCTACTCATCATCCCAACTAATCAATCTACAGATACTTATGTGCCATACTTTCTCTATGCCAAACACTGCACTAAGTTTAGGGGATACAAAGAAAAAGCAAATATAGTCCCTGTCCTCAATGAACTTACATCTTAACAGAGGACAAAATATGCATGTAAAGAACTATATTATAGATAGATAGTTAAAGATAAAGATATATGTGTATAGATAGATGGATATAGATATATGTAGATAGATAAATGTATGTGTAGATAGATATACGTGTGTAGATAGGTAGATATACATGTGCAGACAGATAAAGATATATACATGTGTGTAGATAAAGATACATATAACATATACATGTGTGTAGATAGATAAATAAAGAACAGATACAAAATAATCTCAGAAGGGAAGGTACCACTGTGCATAGTGTTTGAGTATATTAAACCAGTGGTTTTATTCCTGCTTATACTTCCTCAATGCAATAAGGTCCAGACTACTTAGCAGTCTTTATTGGTAGATGGAGTTTCCTTACTTGGAATCCTCCGTATCAATGAAATCACAGGTCTAATTTTTTTTAAAAAACCGTATTGTATGTGGATAAATTATATGGATGTCCTGCTGTGTTATGTTATACGAGATGTATCATGCTCATGTTGATGAACAAAGATTTTCATTTGAATGCCAAAGTCAGAAAGAGATAATCTACTCATTTTGTCCTTGTTCCTTTTTAGAATTCAATGTCCTCGGAAGAAAGTAGAGAAGACTTACAAGAGGTTAGTTCTCACCTTCGAGACTTTTCCTAACACAGGGAATTCAACAGGTGTAAAAAAAAATGTGTAAAACTTCTTTCTCCTAATAAGACTGGACTAGATCCTCTACTTGTGATAATCCACTGAAGAATTCCTCCCAGACTTATTTGTTAAGAACTTGGTAAATCTTAAAGTACTATATAAATTGGAGCTGTTTGTATTATTACAAGGGATTTATGCCAGAGTTGGCATCAAAGAACATCATAAAGCTCAGTGTTCAGACAGCCATAATTCAAAAGTGCATTTCAAACTTGACCAGGAAAATCAAATCACATAATTCCAAAGGAATTAACATATCTTCTATCTATTTAGTCCTAGAAGAAAGATTTGTTAATATCAGGCTTAAAAACTTTGTTTGATGTACTAGGAATAAGCATGATCTCATGTTCATCAAGTGACAAATTAATGCCTTTGAACAATAACCAAATTAATATTTTTGTCTATATTGTATTTTCATTTCCAATTTGATTGTCTATAAAATAGCTGCTGCCTTCATTAGGGCTATTAGCATGTCAAAGCAATGTTTGAGTCAAATGATACAATTATGTCATTGATCACAATGACATATTAACTTTTTTTTAATAACCATCATTTTGATGTGCTAGGAGTTCCTGATGAGGAAGCTAAACAAGCCATTGGAATGAGAACAGAAGTGTCAATACAAATGCATAGCTATACCTTTTCTTGGTTATGGATATTAACTGGTTGATCAAGGTGATGGTTAGAAACGGGGAATATATTTACACATGTATTCAGTTAAATTTCAGTTATCCAAACTAATAAGTAGTAGTGTGGCAAAATACTTTATTTACAAAATTTGCAAAACGAGGGGTATTTTGGGAAGATGATATTTTGTGCTGTGAATTTTCAGACAGAGTTTTAACAGCTAACATTTATGTAGATATTGAAATTAAAAAAAAACTCTCTTGATTTTAGACACTCCCAAGAAACTCTGACGAAAGCCCAGATGATATCGATGATGATGACAATGAATATGGAGATGAGGGGCATAAAAGCACTGATTCTGATGATTCTGATGAATCGGATGAGGTGGTCACTGATTTTCCTACTGATACCCCAGCAACATCAAGTTTTCTACCTGATGGACCAACGAGAGGTGCTAATGATGGCAGAGGAGATAGTGTGGCCTACGGACTGAGATCAAAAGTGAAGGCACCCTACCGATCATCAGAACAGGTAAATTCTCTTGACAAAAATTCTAGATGGTTATGAAAAAGCATCCCCTTTAAGAAATAAGAAATGAATGAAAGCAATATTCAATATAAAAACTATTATTTAAAATGCTTTATTTAGTGCTTTTGGAAAATCCACATAATGTTCTATACTTTTCCTTCTCTAACACTGCACTTTTTACTTAAAAATCACAGTCTCAAACCCCTTATTCCATCTAGACTTTCTTGGGTGAAAAAGTCTCTAGAGCATGGCAATCATACCCTCCCCCAAAAAGAAGAAGAAAGCTTAAGTTCAAAAAAGTCTAAAAATAGAATAGCTATGCTAACGTATATTTTGGCTAAAATTAATCAACTTCCAAGTTAAGCTACGCAGAAAGTTAAAAAAAATAGTTTACACTGCTTCTCTTCACACTCTAAATGATCTAGTCGAACTGGCCTCATTGCTGTCCTTCACATACAACAGTCCTTCACCCATCTCTGTGTCATCATACAGTTTCCTTCATACAGCCTCCAGTGGCAGAAATTCACTGCCTCTTGAATTCTATCTCTTGAAATCCTCAGTTTCCCTTGAAGCTCAGTGCCACTTTCTACATGAAGCTTTTCTGATTCCCCAAGTACATCCCTCCCCTTGCACATAATTTTGTATTTCTTTTGTATATACTTACATGTGGGTCTGTTGTCTCCTCTGATGACATGTGAGGTCTTTGAGGGCAAGTATTTATTATGCACTTACTGTGTGCCAAGATATAGTGCTAAGAGCTGGGAATACAAATACAAGAAGAAAGAAAGACAGTCCCTGCCCTCAAAGAGCTTGCATTATAACAGGGAAAAGTAACACGTAAAGGGGGGCTGAAGAAAGAGCGGGGAGAGGAAGCTACCCATGTAGGGGCACGCTAGAGGAGTTCCCTAGAGTCAGAAGTGGAGCCTGGAGAGGTATGAAAACATGACTGGCCTGGGAGCTTTCCTTAAAATGGAAGTTCTGGAAGGAAGCAGCCAATCAGAGGAAGGGGCTGCAGGAGCCATGTGTATTACCAATATGAGAAGTAGCAGGACTTCCAGCATTAGGAGGCTAATGTGGTATGGTAGAGAAAGTCCAGAGAGTCAGAAGAGGAGGAACTATTTTATTTTTGTTTTTCTATCCTGGGTGATTGTTTTTAGCCCATATTAGACTATTGATTGATAGATTCATACACAGGTATACTTTAAGATCTTTCTGAGGCACAAAAATTCACTGAAGAAAATAGCTCTTAAAAAGTAGAATTGGCCAAATGGGAAAGGAGGTACAAAAGCTCACTGAAGAAAATAACTCCTTGAGATCTTCTTTCTTTGTTGTTTTTGACACAGGTACATGATGTTACAGAAGAGGATCTTACATCCCAAGTGGAAAGCTATGAGTCTGAAAAGGCACACAAGGTATTCCCTCTCTCACAAAACCTTGCTAAGGTTTCTGCTTGGAACAGCAATGGCAAGGAGAGTAATGAAGCCAGCCACCCAGATGAATACAGTGTAGAAACCCAGAGTCATGAGCAATTGAAAAGCTATCGACTTGAACGGAATAGCTATGACAGCCAGCAGCAAGGTGACTCACATGGTAGTCAGGAAAATGACAAAGTCAGCCAAGAATTTCACAGTCCAGAAGTTGACAAAGACAGCCAAGAATTTCGCAAACTACAAGTCAACAAAATCAGCCAAGAATTTCGAAGCCAAGAAGTCCACCTAGCCAATGACCCTGAGAGTGCTGAAAATGCTAAGCATCTGAAGCTTCACTCTTCCCATGAAGCTGATAGTGCATCTTCTGAAGTCCATTAATGGGGAAGGGGGGAACCTTAACTGTGCTTTTAGAAAAGGACAGAAAAATAAAAGTATTGCAGTATGGCTGGGGGAAGAGAGAGGAGAACAGCTAATACTTATTTCTAAGCTTTCTGGGTAAATACATCTGTATGTGCATTTGGAAACATAATGGGTTTGATTTCTAGCTGTAGTTAAGTGATAACCACCGGTTAATGAAAGTTTGTAGTTTTCATTTCCATTTCTTAGCTGAAAAGGATATTAGTGCTTATTTTTCTGTTTTGAAGAGAATATATAAAGGCAGAAGAAATTGTTTTATGCATATATCAGTGAACTATTACCTTTATGATACTGTACATTTTGGGTTTTTTTAATCAGTGTATATTTTGTTGTGATTTTATTTTAAATAAAATGTTAGAAAAAATCCTCGGGTAAAGTGAGAGCAAAGACTTCTTTCATGTATTGCATGTGCTTAATGAAGATTGATTCCACAAACATTTACTGAGCCCTGCTATGTGCCCAACATAGACAAAAATGAAACATCCCCTCTTCTCAAGGAGCAAACATTCTATTAGGGGAAAACAATATGTACATAGAAAATTAGTTACAAAATAAATACAAAAAAAGTTCCAGGTTAATATGAAGGGTAGTCTGTTAATAATGCATGAGTGAGAAATAGAAGAAAAGAATTGGATAAAGAAACCAAACTGGTAGTAGGGACATAGTTGGATGAGTAAGAGAGAAAGTGAAATGTAGCTTCAATCTAGGCAGCCTACAACTGACTCTCATGGATTTTGAGTAGAGCCACAATATAGTAGATTGTCAAGATTACTGTACCTTTTACAGTAGCAATGGTAATATTGATTTGATGTTCAATCCCTGAACAAGATGAGGAAAATGGTCAGAGGGAGGGAAGAGGTAGGGAAAGCCCATCCATAGGATAGAGCAGAAGACAAGTCCCTGGTTCTGCCCATGGGTCAATGAAGTCCTGGTTGTATTAAATCCTACAGTTCTTCAGCAGGTAATATAAGTATTATATAATTAGAACTTCTACTTGTAACATGTAGCAACTTTTATTTTTGTAATTTTTCATTTTTATTTATTAATTTTTACCTTTAAAAATGCTTTCACAAATATTATGTCATTTGAGCCTCAAAACTACCTTGCAAAATAGGAAGAGCAGATATCCTTTTATAAACGAGGAAACTTTAGAGTAGTGTGGTGTAATGGGAAGAACACTGGATTTTGGATCCAGAGGTCCTATGTTTGAATCTTTGCTCTGCTGCTTACTAACAGTCCCTTTGGTCAAGTTACTTAATCTTTCCGAGACTCAGTTTCCTCATCTGGAAGATGACGAGTTTTACTAAATGATCTTAAAATCCTTATAAATTTAAATATTAGAGATAGAGAACAGCTAAAAGATTTGGGGCAGCTAGGTGGCATAGGGGATAGAAAACTGTGCCTGGAGTCAGGAAGACCTGAATTCAAATCCAACCTCAGACACTAATAGCTGTCTGACCTTGAGCAAGTCACTTAATCTCTGTTTGCTACAGTTTCCTCAACTATAAAATGGGGAGAGTAACAGTTCCTAGGGTTGTTGTGAGGATCAAGAGATAATATTTGTAAAGTGCTTAGCATAATGTTTGGCACATAGTTGGTGGTATGCAACTACTCATTCCCCACTTTCCCAAGTACTCAAGTTGTTTAATATAAGGTAAGAATAAAAATCAAGTCGGCCAAGATAAGAGAACTTATCAAGATGCTCAAAATTCTCCCCAGTGTACAACATTTCTCTAACTTAACTTCCTTTTTTTTTCAGTGTCAACAATTATCATGTAATGAATAACTTCTCTTGGCTTTATTAACAGGACAGTTTTTAGAGGTAAAGCAGTAAATTATTGACCTAGTACAGGTATATCTGCTCCTCTTCTCCCTCCCCGCATTTCACCCAATAACATGATTTTGAGTCATAGGAAGGTTGAAAAATGAGCAATTGATATGTCGACCTATCTTATCTCTTACTACAAAAACTATCATGATTTCCCACTGCTCCCTCCACTTTTTAATCCTTAATTTTCTCTACATCTTCTAGTCATACTCTAATGTTTCCTATGAAGTAGCAATGGTCCCCTTAGGGACTCATGCAACAGGAAGGCTACTACTGAAGTCTGTCCTAAGATCAGCCTCAGTCTTTGCTCCTTACAAGCATTGCTAAAAAGAATACTGTCCACAAAATGATAAAGAGTGAAATGAGCAGAACCTCTAAGAGAACTTGTACACAGTAACAGCAATATTCTTCTAAGAACAACTTTGAACAACTAAGTTATTTTGAGTATTACAAAATCTCAAATCAACTACAAAGGACCTATGAAGGAAGATGCTATCCATCTCCAGAGAAATAACTGAAAAATAGATACATAGTATAGTTCTATGCATATATGTGTACATATACATATATAAATATACATATACATATACATTTGTGTCTAATGGTAGCCTTCTTTAAGGCATGGTGGGGAGAAAGGGAAGAAAAAATTAAAAAGGCACAGCAGAGAACAAAAGAAAACCTAGAAGGAACCACAGAAAAGCAGAGTAGCTTTGAAAATGATATATAGTGCTTATTACATAGTTTTTCCAAAAAATAAAAAAAAGGAAACTATGTGAAATGGAAATTCATGGTTTTATATTGAATCCTCTTTTCATGTTGTGCTATGTACATGGAAATGTTTTTTTTTTCCTTGCCTTTTTGTATTTGAGGACAAAATGAATAAAAATTTTAAAAATTAAAAAAATAAAAAAGAATACTGTCAAAAGAACACATGATCAGTCAAAATACATTTAATCTCAAAAGCAGGTTGGGTGGTAACAACTTAAGGTTCATAGGTCCCCAAGAAAAACACAGCAAGTCAAAAAACCTGAACTCTTTGATGCGAAAGATAATACAAGAAAATTGGCCAAAATTTCTGATAATGGCAAATAAAATACCAATGCAAAGAATCTGCCAAGCACCTCTAGAAAGGCTATTTTTCACTACAAACTCCAAGATACATAATGGTTAAATTCAAAATTCCAATGGCAACAATTAATTTTGCAAGTGACTAGGAAAAGGTCTTTCAAATGTAATGTAAGGAAATTTGAATGACTCAAGGCTATTCTACACTAACTGTGGCTCCTAGGTGGTGCAGTGGACACAGCACTGGCCTGAAGTCAGGGAGATTCATCTTCTTGAATTCAAATCTGGCCTCAGACAACCTACTAGCCGTGTGACCCTGGGCAAGTCACTAAACCCTGTTTACCTCAGTTTCCTCACGTGTAAAATAAACTGGAGAAGAAAATGGCAAACCATTCTAGTCTTTGCCAAGAAAACCCTAAAATAGGGTCACAAAGGGTGAGACACAATTGAACAACAACATTCTATACTAATCAGGGACAAAAGGAAGGAATGAAATAATGTGTTCCAAAGTGCAAAGAAGCTCAGGATGCAATCTCTTGCAAACCTGGGCCTATTTATTAATGAAAAAAGATGAACATTAAGTAAAAAAGAAGACTGGAGATAGAAGATGGTTTCATAAATAAATTACTGGAGTAGGGAAAAAACTACCTGTCAGATTTAAGAAGAATTTATAATGAAATATATTTATTTATCATATATATTTATGAAGAATTCATAATGAAATAAGTGATAGAGATATTCACAGAAGGTAGAATGGATAACTTTGATTATATAAAGTTTATATAAGATTGTGTAAAGTTTATATAAGATTATATAAAGTTTAAAAGCTTTTTCACTAAAAAAACTAATGCAACTAAAATTAGAAGAAAAGCAGGAAACTGAAAAAAAATCTTTGTAGAACATTTCTCTGATAAAGGTCCCATTTCTAAAAATATACAGGGAACAGAGTCAAATTTACAAGAATAAGAAGCATTCCCCACTTGATAAATCATCAAAGGATATGAACAGGCAATTTTCAGAGGAAGAAATAAAAGCTATTAATAGTCATATAAAAATGCTCTAAATCACTAATAAATAGAGACATGTATATTAAAACAACACCCATTAGATTAGAATAGTTCATGAAAAAGGAAAATTACGAATGCTGCAGGGGATGTGGGAAAACATGCTATTGCACTATTGGTGGATCAGTGAACTAGCCCTACATTCTGGAAAGTAATTTGGAACTAAGCCCAAAAGGCTATTAAATTGTGCATACCCTTTGACCCAGAAATACAGATACTAGGTCTATGCCCCAAAGGGATCAAAGAAAGAGGAAAAAGACGCATCCGTACAAAAATATTTAACTCTTTTTTGGTGGCAAAAAAAAATTGGAAACTGAAGAGATGCCCATCAATTAGAGAATAGCCAAACAAGTGGTGGTATATTAATGTGATATAATACTATTGTGTTGTAAGAAATGATGACGTGAATAGTATAAAAAAAAAAACATGACCAGAACTGTATGAACTGATGCAAAGTGCAGTTAACAGAAATTAACAGCAATATTTTAAAGAGAATTAACATTAAAAGACTTGGTAAGTCTGATCAATACGATGACCCAGTACAATTCCACAGGACTCATGATGAAACATGTTATCCACTTCCAAATACAGAAATGATGGAGTCAGATTCCAGATTGAAGCCTATGTTTCCCTCTTTCTTTTTTCTTGCTTTTTTTTGGGGGGGAGGGGAGAATATGGCTAAAGCAGAAATTTGTTTTGTGTGACTATACATATTTGCAGATGAATGAATGAATAAGAGGTATTTGAAACATTCCTACAAAGGAAAAAAAGACCTATATAAATTATTTGCTTTGCAAAGACTCCAGTCAACAGAAATACAAAAAAAACAAAAACAAAAAAAAACTTTAACAATTGCAGCAGCCAAAGAAGGCACAGGTAGCAAATTAAATCATCCCCCCAAACAGGAAAAAAAAACTAAGGACAAAAAGATGCCATTGGGGTTAACAACAATAACAACACTAACAACAATATAACAACAAAGAGACCATTAAAAAGTTTCTTTCTAAAAATACACAGGGATACAAGGGTAAAAGAGAAACTTGAATAGAAGTGACGGTGGTGAAACAGGCCTAAAATATCATGGACTTAGCCTCACAACACCTTGCCTACAGATGAATCAGTGTGTTTTGTTTATTTGTTTGTTTGTTTTATAGTACTAAATTGCATTGATGGGAGGGTGCAAAAAGAAGGAGAAGAATATATAATGTACCCTAATCAAATTGAAAGTTAGCAACGAAGGAAAAATACCTCCTGTATTCTCTCAGGAGGAAGAGGCCTAGCTAGAGGAGAATAAGTGAGGAGGCAAAGGGAGAAATCTTGGTCCATTTGAAAGGGTTCTCAGTGATTAATGTTGCTGTGAGGGAAGGGGAGAAGAGAGATA